TTATATTATATGGTTTATTATTATTTTTCTTATCCTACATTTTTAATGTTTTCATTTTAGGGAAAAAAAGGAAGTATTTTGTTGTAGCCTTTTCATTCTAGAATCGATTGAATCATCTGACCGATAGTTTATTTCATAAATGTCAATTTTCTTATGTAACAGAATCGTAAATAAAACAAATTACAATTATATATATCAAGAAATTTGTAGAGATTGTAGTAATTTCAATAATTGAGATCATGAGTCAATTGAAGCTAGACCCACAATAGGACGAAACGACCGTCCAGTGCTTCCAGGTTTTCCATGGTGATCTAGCTTCAATTAACTTATGATCTCAACCATTGAAATTATTACAATCTCCACAAAACCCTATTCTGATACTAATCAACATATGCTCACTAGTGACTGGCTTCAAAAGGTATACTCTGGAGTTCGAGTGAATAGTGACCAGTGGAGTTCAACCGAGTCTGTTGTGAGATAGTAACTTACTGATGACAATGGTTGTTGTGTCGCTCAATTTTGTGGATTAGTTGAAGTTAGACATTAACACCGCTGAATGCCGGTCAGCTCAGTGGTCTAGTGGTTAAGCGCTCGCGCGCGAGAATGCCGTAAGGAGGGGTCGTGGATGCGCACTGCTGAGGAGTTCCACAATAGGATGGAACAGCCATCCAGTGCTTCCAGGTTCCCCATGGTGGTCTAGCTTCAATTGACTCATGATCTCAACCATTGATATATATTGAATAATTTTATCAGATATTATTTTATTCAAGTAAATAAGGTCAAATTCTATGTAAAATATATAATAAAGTAAATATACTTTGGAATTTTAATCCATATGATATTCATGGAAAAATTAATGTATCATTAAAAAATAACTTGTGAAATATTTTGGCTAAAATAATGAAAATGTTAAGCGGTAATTTCATTAAATAAGCAGTTTAAGGTGCACTATTATTATTATAAAAATTAGAACAAGAATTTATATGTTATTCAGCTAGTAAACTATTAACTGGAATGTGAGTATAATTAACTTCAATCAATTATAATAGTTTTTTGATTGAGATCATGAATCGATTGGTTTTAGACCATTATTCAAAACCTGGAATCACTGGATGAACGTTTCACTCTATTATGAGATTCAGCAGTTCGTATCCACGATCTCGCTTGTGAGATGTGAACCCAGGACCTACAGTCCCGCGCGTGAATGTTTAATCTCTAGACCACTGATCTGGCCGGTATTCTAACCTCAGCCAGTCCATGAGGAGTCTCATAATAGGACGAAACAACCGTCCAATGCTTCCAGGTTTTCAATGGTGGTCTAACATCAATCGATTTATGATCTCCATCAAAAACTTAATAATCTCCACAACCCCATTCTGACAATGATAGTAGTGTTAGTAAGCTTATGTAATTAAGATGACCTCAATTATAAACATTGGAATATCGGTGTTTATTATAAGATATATAATTTAAAATTTGCCGATATCATTATTTAAAAGTAATTTACATTAGTAGCTGTATAATGTTTGTGGTTTGCACTGGCTCTCAGCGTTTTCAAGTTCATGATAGGATATCCTACTTGATGCAGAATTTCGATTGTCATACATGAGTTCTGTTCCAACTTATTTGTCCTCGTACAGACAGATTTCTGAATGACTCAAATGTATAATTTGGTACCTAGATGCAGATTTGCTGTGATGAACTTCCTTCTCAAGCCTCAATGAGATAAGAAGGCAACTACTGTACTAACTTACACATCCTTCTGTCTTTGACTCAAAATTCACATAATTAGATATTTCAATAGACGGACCACAAAGCATCAATATTAAGGAAATACAATCTGTACCGAAATGGGACATTTGACATACAGCATACAATTGAATTAAATTAATTTGGAAACAATAAATTGTGACGATAGTTTATAAATCAAACGAAAGCTGGCAACTAGGAAAATGAAAATCATGTGAACTGGTAAGTTGAAAATCAAATGTATTGATGCCACAAAACACAGCATTCGAAATATTTCATCTTCCAATATGCAATAAACTGTAATAAATTGAAAAGCAAGGTACAACGGACAGGTTTTTAATCTTTAGATTAAACCACCTCAGCATTACCCAACTATAACCTTAGGTTGTATTGAAACCAGAGAAATTAAAGGTTCTAATAGAACTGTTCGTTGCTCTCCGGCTAATATTGACCAGTGAAAATAATTTTTAACACAAATCTCCATCAAATCACTTAGTTCAAAAGGTATATAATGTCAAGATACCGAATGCTGTCATAATGAATGACAAAAACGTTTCTTTTTCAACTTGACTGCAATAAAATCAAGTGAATCCGAATGTAATGACTTTCTAAATATCCAATATCACTCAAAATACTTGTTACTTTACCATATACTTAAATAGTTTGTTTTGGTCATTTCGAATAAAAATTCTCATCATGTTAAAACGCATTCAAATGAATAAAGAACATTCTTTTCGATAAACCTATTTCCTAACAATTCGAATCTCATTACTAAATGTACTGAATATTTGTGTTTGAATGCTAAACCATGATAATCCTCTCAGGATTCACACATACCAACAAAGGGAGTTTAGATACAATTCTCAATACCAATAATGCTTGAACTATGGCTTGCCTCGTGGTGCATTTTGATTATTTCCTTAATATATATCCTATCCACTTTCAACGTCTTTTCCTAATTTCCAACTCAGCTGGAAGTTGATTTGTTCTTTCCCACAGTAGGCTGTTGCTGATGATATAGTACAAATTAAAGTTACCACACAAGTTTTTGGACTGATTAATTTTGTTATAATTTCAGCATAATAATCTTTGCTAAAATTGAAAGACTTTGATTTGGACATAAGAGAGTTTTGAACATCCTTTTTCTTAAAAATATTTTTCTCCGTTTCTGCAATTGATCAATGGTTAATAATTATACTGTAATTATAATTAACATATTCAACATATCCTATGATATATTTGTTTTGGGCCTATACCTGCACTGTTGCAGTAACTACTTACTTACCCCTCATGGAGAAGTATAGGTCGTTCATTAGCACTCTCTATTCAACCCTGTCCTCGACAATCCTTTCCAGTTGCTATCCATGCTTTTCATATCTGCTTCCAATTCCCGACGTAGTGTCTTCTTCGGTCTTCCTCTTTTCCGTTTTCCTTCGGGATTTCAAGTTGGGGTTCGGCAAACCAAGGATAACATTCCTACACTTGAGCAACATATGGAACTCAAGCAACTGTCAGTCAATATCAAAGCACAATCTCCAATGGGAACGTCAAAACAGTTCTATTATACGGAACTGAAATTTGGAGAGCTACCACAACCATCAAAATAGTGCAAGTACTTCTAAACGATTATATACCTAATATACTGAATTTCTGTTCGTCGGATATCATCAGCAACAGCCTACTGTGGGAAAGAACAAATCAACTTCCAGCTGAGTTGGAAATTAGGAAAAGACGTTGAAAGTGGATAGGATATATATTAAGGAAATAATCAAAATGCACCACGAGGCAAGCCATAGTTCAAGCATTATTGGTATTGAGAATTGTATCTAAACTCCCTTTGTTGGTATGTGTGAATCCTGAGAGGATTATCATGGTTTAGCATTCAAACACAAATATTCAGTGCATTTAGTAATGAGATTCGAATTGTTAGGAAATAGGTTTATCGAAAAGAATGTTCTTTATTCATTTGAATGCGTTTTAACATGATGAGAATTTTTATTCAAAATAACCAAAACGGTATACGGTAAAAGCAACAAATATTTTGAATTATTTATCTAAATTATTAAGTGAATAATAACTTGCTCATATATTATGACAATTTTATTGTAATTAACTACTTCATCCGTAATTTGATCTCACTGTGCAATTTAAAAACAATAGTTATTCCTAATTAACACATACCTATAGACTAGTTTTATTAATCATAAAATCTTATCATTGCTTATTTTTATTTGAACACAGATAGTGGTACAAGGAGACACCAAATACATATGCGCCACACAAATCTCATTTGATATATGTGAGGGCTGTGATACTGCCAAGGTGCCCAAACCGAAGCAGATGGTTTTATTAGAGGGCCACACCCGGAGCCTTCGGCCTAAAGGTCTGACCCACAAGGTAGTGGAGCATCGTGAGGAGATGCAGTACAATGGTAGCCCGTAGCCAACGATTGGTTCATACACCGTTTGTTCCTTCAGGATACTGGAGCCCATGTGCACCATTGATTTGGAATCAGGGTTTTCCAACTCCCGTAGGTGGACTCTCCATGTCCATCAACACGGTTAAAGCGCCAGACATTCGATTTCCGTAAACAACAGTAATGCAACGAGAAGGCAGTGAGTAGAACTTCCCTGGCATAGGCTATATACGCGTAGCCATGTGAGAGCATTTCGAGTGGGAGAACGGACTCTCTCCACTATCGGCCGTACCAGAGCATTTGGGGGCTAACGAAAACAATAACGGGGCGGATTTGCATACATATAGCAAACAAGTCTCTTTGAACCTAGCACACAACAATAGCATCATGCACTGTCCCATCGCCCTTGACAGATCAGGTAACCCGAAAGTTACGAGAACACCATGAGAGCATACGACAGACTTGATACCCCAGAAAGTACTGTATCATTACAGTACTTTCTGAAGGTCTTACACTACTGATTATAACTATTTACTAATTTCGAATGACGATTTTTTAACCGATATCATTACACCTCATAGAAAAACAAATCATAGAAAACATGACAAAAGGGGTAAATGGAAATAGAAATTGTTATATTATGCATAAAATTATTTTAATTTACTTTAAAATAAATCGTTATCATTTAACAAATCAATCCAGTTTGTCATAAACAATTAAAGATTAGACACAAATATGTACTAGTTCAAGTAGTCCCATTCTAAGATGAATGAATACTAAGTAAGGCACATTATTGCATATATATATATATATATATATATATATATATATATATATATATATATAGAGAGAGAGAGAGAGAGAGAGATTAAGAATGAACACATCTCCATCGCTATAATCTATCTTCAGACGTTTAACTCGAGATCTTCAAGTAACTGATTAAGGTAATTGTGACCACATTTCACAATAGAAATCAATAACATATCAATGACTGAGCATTATTATTAGCAGTATTGATGGTATAAAGAGTTCATCAATTTGTTTTGTGGTACGACTCTCTGTGTTCGATCATCGTTGTCTCCGAAGGATTGCTGACATTCAGTGGCAACACCATGTCAGTAATGCAGAGGTTCGGCATCGTGTGTTCGGGCACAGAGATGATAATTCAATTGTTGTCACCATCTTGAAACATCGACTTCGGTGGCTTGGACATGTTCTCCGAATGTCGTCCCATAGAATTCCACGTCGTGCATTATTTGCCGACTCTGGGACTGGTTGGAAGAAGCGGAGAGGTGGTCAGTGCATGACATGGTGTCGTGGCATGAAAGAAAGCTGCAAAGGACTGGCTTGTGTTGGTCCTTCACGACTCCCTGGCTGGGGTCTGAGAGATGGTGCTACACAGTGGCTAGAGACGTTACCAGATATGGCTCAGAATAGAAGCCAGTGGCGATCATGCTGTAACCTTCTTTTACTTTCTTCATAAAAAGTGGTTGTGTCTCCTTTACCTGAAAGATTTCTTCTAATTGTACCTTTTCGTTCCGTCGTTACTACCACACTACCTTACTCCAATCTCTTCGTCATTGTTCTCTTTTTCTTTTGCGTTCCTTAGTTTTTTTTTCTTCTTTCTACTTCTCTTCGAATTCCCATTGTTTTGTGTGGCGCATATATATTGGCGCTCTATTGTACCAATATTTATGTGTTCAAATAAATAAATAAATAAGTATTGATGGTAAGAGTAGAAGAATAAAACAAAGTCAAATCAACACATCATGTATAATTATGCATAAGTGAATAATAAAGTGAAGTACAAAAGTAAAACACTATTTGATTCTATATATTTACAGAAAATGTAGACGAAAAATTAGTAATTCGTAAAGTGATCATTTAAAATATTAAACATTCGATACTGTAAGAGAATTAAAATAAGTTGCATTGAAAAAATATCCGTCTTTTACTTCTGTATTAATATAATAACTGTGATGTCAGATAAGCTGTTGCCTTATAGATATTCATACTGTTTTTGGATATATTACACAAGCCAATATTATTCATTTGAACATAATTCTAAAATGTAAAATAGATTAATATAAAGAGAATTAAAGGATGATATGTGTTATATCCCGATAAGAATAATGAATGGTAATTTTTCGGATCTATTGATGGACCAATACTATGAGTATATTTTTATCGTATAATTGTTATGTAACTAAACTGTTCACACATTCATGTCCCTCTTGTTATGAGTTTTATTTTGACCTATGAACTATTATTATACGATTTACCATTCTTGAATTATTCCCTGTCTGTTATTCACTACCTCCCTCATTCACAGCCACTTTTGGCTAAATATTGTACAAATGTTGTTTCATATTTTATGGTAGGTTGTGGTCTGTCTGGATGATATATAAACCGAGTGTGTTTGAAATAAATGATTCATATTGAGGAAGCTGAGATTGGTGTTCTGGACTCAACTGGCTGGGCTAGGCGGAAAGCAGGACCAATCAGGACTCTAGGCTGCTCGCATGTGTTTATTGCGTCACTAGTCCGATCGATAACTCACTGCTCTCTGATTGTTGATATCGTTGCGTTATACAATAAACAGGGCACACAGGTTCACAAGATATAACAATATGATAATTAACTATTAACTAATAAGATTAAATACCTCTCTGACAGTGGTGGTTGAAAGAAATCTTTAACCCCACACTGAAAATTATCATGTGGTCATTAGTGACCAGTTTTAAGAGGAAAGTTTTGGAGTTTTATTGAGAAGCCATGATTCGTAAAACCAATCCGTGTCAGGTGTGAGGCAGTTACCCATCGAAGACAAAGGAATATGGTTGGGGAATATCATGGATTGGTTGAGGTTAAATATTAGCACTGTTGAATGGAGGCTCAATGTTCTACAGGTTAAGCGTTCACGCGAGAGACCTAATGTTCGGGTTCGTTTTCAGCGTGAGGAGTCGTGAATGCGCAGTGATTAGGATTCCAGTACGATGACAGTACAGCCACCCAGTTCTTCTAGGTTCTCAATGGCGATCTATCTTGGATCGCTCCATAGCTTTAATGAAATTCAAAGAAATCTATAAATTAAAAAAAAGTCAACTGAATAGCTAACAAACATTTTCCCTATACCAATACCAAGTTGTGACTTGGAAAAAAAGCTCTACATCAATAACTATTAACTATGCAGATGATTCAGAAAAGAACAAAATAGTTGAATAACACAACAAATTGAGTCATAAGATCGGGTCTTAGTGAACACCATAAGTTCAGATCACAGGACAAAATTTTTGCGATAACAGTAATTGTGGGTTGTACAATATTCACTGATATAAAATCACATACTAGTATAACTAACTAACGTCTCGTTGATTACTTAAAAACAACGTACTAAGATATATATAACATTGATCAGTATATTGTACATGTTTGCGCCATTTCTATTAAAAATGTATTAGAATATATATTTTTTCTTTTCAATTCTTGTCAACTGGCAAAAATGATCATATTCATCAGTCAGTCAGCTACAACGTAGGATCAGGCACGTATATGCATCGGTCCAGGTTGCCATACTTCGTTAACACAACAAGATAGACACCGGATTCATAAAAGTAGTTAATCCAGTTGTGGTAATATATAAAAGAAAGATTGCAATAAGGATATAGTACAGGAAGAAAGAACTAGTTCATAGAAAGAAAGATATGAAGCGATTTTAATCTCTTAGTTTAAGAGAAGACAGATGGTGTATACACCGACGCCATTGTGACCGATTCTGAGCCATGTCACCAAGAGTCTCCAACCATTGGTTACGATAGTCACGCGGACCCCAACCAAGTAGTCTGCATCTATCAACATGGCTAAGGCTATAAATTAGCGACTTTAAGCACTGATGCCACGTTTTGGTTTGGCCATCATATTCATCAGAAAATAAAAACGAATGTACTATAAAACAAAGATAATCAATTAAGTAAAACATTATCAAAATTACTGTAATTTTTTAATACAATAAAATATAAATTAAAATGACCCAGTATAGCACAATATGTACAAGACATGAATCAGGGCAGCGGGGCGTAAAGAACAGTAAATAAAAAAAGATCAAACATAACAAGTAACCTGTTAACATTTAATACAATAAATATGAATAGCTGAAAAACAGATAGCAACTTACATTATAAATATCAATTGAAGTTTTATCTATAGGCAACGAAGACGATGATGATAAAGTATTTAGAGTAGCAAATTTATTTATATAATAATTATCAATTTGAATTGGATGTTTAATAAAATCTGTACGAAGATAATCTGTATGAAAATACAATATAATTGAAAAACAAAAGAGTAGAGATTAATTGAATATAGTTAGTTAATCATGTTTCATAAACACAAAAATAATACAATTTATCCATTATACTACAATTACAAATTAAATTGTAACATTAACATCTACCATTGGTTTTATTGTTTGTTTAAAATGAAATATTTAAGAAAATGTTGTTTAAACTATATTATATCTACATTATTTAAATAAAAAAAATGTATAGAATATTAATGTTTCATACACATGAATAGAGTCAAGCTTAAAAACAAGTTTAAAGTTTAATGGTCAATTTTATTAACCATTTAGCTAGTTCATGTGGTTAGTAAAATTGTTAAACCTAATTTGTATTAAACTATGTAAATTTTTTCTTAAAATGATTTCATTTTTGTTATATCTAGAAGGTTGTTCTTGATATATTGCGTACAACGTGAGCACTAGAACGCCAGAACCCTTCCTAGTCACAATGAGAAGATAGAAGACTAATGAAAGGAATATTATTCCCAAACAGTGTAAATTATAGTACAAAACTGTCAAGTATTTATAGTTTTTAGTAAGAACAAATTCATCATTACAGTCCACCAATAAGCATATAGAGGGTTATTGGCATTGTCCAATTGGGAAGCTACACGTAGAAATTCTGGAATATTCTTCCGAAAAGTGATTGGAATGAATATCTTTGGCTCCTTCTGAGCCTCCTACAGCTTCCTCGAGTTCACCCGTGGTCCGTCGTCACAATTTTATTGTAGGATAATAAATGTCAGATTACAATTTTAATGTTTTCACTTTTTTCTTAATATTAGTGAACTAAAATTAATCATTTGTCTTTCCTCATTATTTATGTAATAAAACGAATAGAAAAAAAAACTTTGAAAAGAAAAAGAACTACTGATATTGTATTGAACAAGACCACGAGTGGGAGACAATCGAATGTATTTCAACACGAAATTACAGAGCATCTCAATAAAACCCGAGAACCATAAAGTAAATAGTTAATTTCTGAAAAATTCCCATTATATTAAAACACAATTGTATGAACAAAGAATATTCTATTCAATTTTTATAAATTCCAATGATGTTTTCGTTTCTGTGAACTTTGCGTTATACTTCAGGAACTCATCGAGTGCCTTCAACACAATGGGTTGATCACAAAATTTTAATCGCTGAAAAATTTCCATTGAGTTCAAGGCACTCAATGAGTTCCTGAAGTATAACGCAAAGTTCACAGAAACGAAAACATCATTGGAATTTATAAAAATTGAAAAAAATATTCTTCGTTCATACAATTGTGTTTTAAATAGTTAAATTGCAAAATATCAATCCATCATCTCAAACTTAACTATTCCTTTTGCAAATATCAGTCCATTGTCTCAGATTTCATTGTTCATGCATTTTCATACCAATTGCGTTCCGTTCCAGTTTCTTCCTTATCGAACGTTTACTGAAATACATTCTACGCCTGACATCCGTTATATACTACTTGTGTGGATAAAAGTAACCCACACCACAATATAACGGTAGAAAAGTTGAGTTCCTATTATTAATTGTTGGTAAATAATAAGAGACGAAACTACACTTTACGTAGTAAACAACTTGCCCAGGACACGGTTGGATGGAGAGTGTTGGTGGGCAGCCTACGTTCCTCCATGAGGATTAACAAGTAAGTAGTATATAACACGAATTTTTATTCTTTTCAAATTTTCACCATAAATGATTGATTGTAATCAATGTTCGCTTTTTCTTTTTCAGTGAATATTATTACCATATTTTCAGTTAAAAGAATAAAGTAATAACTTTAATTATAGTTTACAGACACACATCAACAGGAATCATACTTGAATAGTGTAATAAGTTATTATAAGATCTAAATTAATATACTGAAGTACAAACACAGTATTCAAGTTTAGCATATCTAGTTTTTCCGTTATACACTCTTGGATATTAAGTGTGAAGTTAGCCAATAGAGCAAACAAATGTTTACTTCCAATCAGCTTATCATCATGGATCTACACTTATCTATATGCATAAATATAATTAACAGTAATAAAACAATACCAACCGAGTAGTAGTGTTGTGTTGTATGCTACTTATGTTGATAAACATAAGTAGTATGCAACACCAAGCGGGATTGCAAAACCTAACAGCAGAAGGCCAAGAAGATCAAGCTAAAGATAACAGAAAGGAATTGTGAATCGGAAGAATTATACGGAATGTGAAAGACAAAGGATGCAAATTCGCCAATGAAGTATTCAGTGTATGGTTCTCTTTACCAAGATATTCTGTATTTTGTACTAAATAATAAGCCGGTTGTCCTCACCTGAGTCTCGTCCATTATAGTGTTACATAATAATAATACAATTTCACAACTGATTACGAAAATAACATTGAGTGATTAGTTAGATAATTGATATGATACCGTAAATAATCAAAGCAATCAATCGTAGAAATTCCCAGACTAAACAATTTTTACCGTTGTAGATGAAATATATATATCAAGGTAGAGCCATGATGAAAAAAATAACTGAGAAGAAATATTTACACATTCTGTTTCTCTCTTTAGTACATATGCATTGTTGGGTTCAATAACGTAGTGTGAAGAGCACCAGTAGATATACAATTAAAATACCGGATCAAGAAGGGTATCTACGAGGTTGAACATTAGTTTTACTGATGAATAATTACCCGCAAAACAAAGCATCAATCCAAAACTTTATAATGATTGGCGGCAAATGTCTTGTGATAAAAATGCTACCGTGTCGTTTCGTTTTAAATTAAACTCAGCCAACATCACAATAAGGCTTTAAATAGAGACTAATGACGAACTCGTGAATAGGTTGTATTATTTCACTGCTAAGAATAAACAGAACAATAATATCATTTATATACCTTCATAGACATGTTTATTTGGTAAATTTAACACGATCTCAGATGACGATACACAATTTGAATAGGTGGATTCAGGATCTTCTTTGGATTTACCAAGTTGGCCAACTATTGTTTGTTTTCGCTTTTGACGTTTTGTAGAATTTGAAGTATACGGGTAACTTACAGAATATCCTTTATTATCAAAATATTTGTCAGGTAGACGTTTAGATTGTGTTACTGATAAGTCTGGATCAAGAAGCAATTGAAATAGATTCAAATCGGGCGGAAAGAAATTAATACAATTATCTATCGACTCCTCATAATCGCTAAAAGGAGAAAAAAATGATAATGTAAAACTTCATGCTATGCAATAGTCATTTACAATTAGTTAGTCATATTGTGAATACACATAGTGCGCTATTGATTGAAATATTGAAGTATTAACCATTTAATAGAAGGTCCGGATTCTGTCTAACCTATTCTATTTTGATCAGTGCGGAGTTATTCTTGTTCCTTGATATAACTGAGGGGATTCATACGATAACAGGAACATATATGTACGGAAAATAGATGGAACGATAACATATAATGTCTAACCCGAGAACTCTATATTTTACTGGTCTGTAAGACATCAGAAGATAAAAGCTAAATCAGCATTTATCTAAAATACTACTCTTTTTATATATAACTTTAGGTAACTGTTAGGTAGTCGGAAAAATAGACCAATAATTATGATGTTAAGTCCATTGGTGTCCTTGGACCTTAAATGTACATTTCCCATTGGTCGATATTTATTTAACGTGTTATTTTCCTGTTGGCCAATATTGTACAATGTTATTTTCTACTTTGTGGTACGATGTGGTTTGTTTGCTTGGTATATAAATAGTGTATGTTTGAAATATAATGATTCATAACTCCGAGGCTGTGACTTTTGTTCTTGACTCAACTGGCTGGGGACAGATAGCGAGGCAGGGCCAATCAGGGCACTAGGTCATCCTTACAAGTTTACGGGTCACTGTCACAGAAGCGATCGATATAACGCTGCGTATTTAAACCTGAAGTCACACTTCGCGTTACAACAGTAACCTAAAATTAAGACGAACAAGTGATTAAATAAATTGTGTCTAATGACTTAATCAAGTCATTCCAACTACGTAGCAGTATAAAATCGAAATATAGATAACAAGAATTTTCGCATTAGTGATCAATCACTTAAAATGTTGATTTCTAATTCAAGCGCTATCTATTACCCTTACATATAAAGTGTAGTCCAAAGCCAAATACCTAAAAGTGTACTTAATAAATGTGTTACGTCAGTATTAGTGATGTAATAATACAACTTTTAATTTCTATTCCACAGTTATTAGTACACCATTCAACTTTACATGTTGGGCAGAGTAAAAAATTTATAACTAATTATCAGAAGCGGTTTGTGGAGATTTTAGAAATTTCACAGGTTGAAATCATGAGTCAGTTGAAACTAGACCACCATGGAAAACCTGGAAGCACTGGACGGCCGTTTCGTCCTAGTATGAGACTCATCAGAAACGCGCATCCGTGATCCTGCACCCCGCGAGACTCGAATCCAGGACCTATCAGTCTCGCGCCAAGCGCTTAACCGACTAGACTACTGAGACGGCATCAAATGGTGTTAATATCTAGCTTCAACCAATCCACGAAGTTGCGCCACCGTATACCATTGTCTTTAGTGAACTTATATCTCACAACAGACCTGGTTGAACTCCACTGGTAACGGCTTCTCACTAGAACTCCAGGAGTCCCATACTAGGACGAAACGGCCGTCCAGTGCTTCCAGGTTTTACATGGTGGTCTAGCTTAAATTGACTCATGATTTCAATGTGATATAACTAATTAACTCAAAATGACGGTATGTAATAGCTTAAAAAGTGTATTTTTTTTAAATATTCTCACTCGTACAATGAAGAATAACTAAATAATTCAATTCATTATAAATCGTGTGATTTTAATTCAAATTCATAAACGGTAAAGGTGTTAGCACATTTCCAAATTGTATACTACGCCCACTTAGTGTCAAATAACAAAACGTTTATTGAAATCTATGGAGAAATGAACAATTGTTTTGTGCAGTTATAATTATGCTCACATTGAATCATTGTTAAAATTGAAGGCTAATTAGGATTGAACAAGAATATATTAGACTTAAATAACAGACATTTCATTGATTTGTTTTTCTTTCAGAAATTTTGTTCGTTCTTTTTAAACTATCCTTCGTTTTTTCGCTACCAATGATATTGACATTGTTTCGACAGATTTACTGTTCATCTTGTAAATTTTTTCTAGTTATACTGACATATGAAGTGTGTTGTTTCAAGGGCAAGTGGATATTTTCACAGAGTTCTATATTATATCTGTTTGTCTATTTAATTATCTGCATTAATCAATCAGTAAGTAGTAACTAACATCAAACTGTCTTATCCAAAATTCGAAAACTAGGATCTATGAGTAAAAGAGGCGAAAACCGAGGAAAAACTGTACACACAGGTATACTCAACTGATTGAAAAGTAAATAAGTAGATTTTTTTGACATTCTCTATTTACAGCCTGATGTGATATTTAGGTTTCATGAAGCTAACTAGTGACTTTGATCGTGATGTATTATTTATTACACTCGCTCTATCACATAAGAACATCTCATACAGTTATTATAAATTAGAAATACTTATTAACAGATATTTCATTAATTAACACTACATACTAAAACTGTCTAAAAATGGAAGAGGTATCGGGTAATCAAACCAATTAGATGCCTTGTAATTGTATCAATAATTCAAACTTTAAAGTAGATAGTGATCATAATATTCTTAGAAAACAGCAAGAAAAGTTTCACAAATTACAATCAGAAAATTTGAGTTTGAAACTAACTGGCGAGATTACTTTTTTAAAAATAAATTATTATTATTATTATTAATGGCTTTACTCAATATTATATTTTGGTACCATATAGAAATTCTCAGCACAGGGTATCTCAACAAGTTTCTTACACACAAAAAACAGTAACAAAGACAAGAGAAGGAATAAAAATGTTTAAAAAAACGAGAAACTGTACAACTTTACAAATTAGAGACATGTTAAGAATCCAGGTTATTGACTTGGTTAACTCTAACAGCCTGTTCGTCACAGAGTATATTTGCTAGGTAAGGTATTATAGAACTTTTACACTTCTGCTTGCGTGCATGGATTTTAATGTAATTACGTCTCGTTCTACCAGGAGATATACAAGGAGAAAGATAAGAGTGAAGGGGATGGTTAGTATCTGATAAAATAACACCTGCCAGGAGTTTGCATGATTTCAAATGTGTATCCACAACCATATTAATTATGACTTCGAAAGATTCACCACACATCTTGCTAACTGCCTTCAGCACTCTCAGCAATACAGCAAAGTCTTTTCTCAAAAGCCCGGGAATGACAATAAATGACAATAACTGTACATCTTTAAACGCCGGTTTGTTAACTTTTAGAATTGATTATAATCTAGTTATGGGGTTCGGTGTAAAGTTGACTTTAAAATAATCTTTTGATATGATAGTCAGCGTCTGAATTGACTAGAAAAAAAAAGATGCATAAAAATGATTGAGTTCAGTCACCTAAGACATTCGATTATGTCTATTGTTTTGTCATTATGTTATATATACACGTATGTTATTTTATTACATTGAAAAAATTTTTTCTACTGGACACCTAATTTGTCTTCTGATATCAGTTCAGCTATGGGGTAGGGTGGGGGTTATGCCAATAATTTGGTTTGGTGAGAAAACAAAAATCAGCCACATTATTTTATTAGATATGATCTAATTTTGCATTCGTTCCTTTCATTTTAACAGTTAAAAGTTCATTTACTAACGCCTGTTTTATAATATCACAAGATTCGATTTTAAAAAATACAACAGGATAGCTACGCAAGGTCTCGTATACTTAGCTTTTAGTTACACTTTTGTACCTGTAGCAGACTACAAAGTCATAGTCAAGAACATTACGAGTGACTAAATAGGATCATTTCAACACCAGAACATTAATTATAGAGTGTAAAGAAACTATACCAACAAATAAATGTGAGTAGTAGCATTCATAGTACCTATCTGAACTAGATTTGTCTTCACCATTATCACCGTCATCCTCAGCAACAACAGCAGATTTTTCTTGTTGTTTTTTGTCTTTTTCATCATCGAAATTATTATTTACTGGACATTTGTCTTTTACTTTTTTAAACTTTTTTGTTTTGTTTAATTCAACATTACTAATTGAAGGATTCAATGCTTCATTTGAATTGTTGCCATCTTTGTAATATTTAGACGAAAGATTATTTTGTTTAGTAGACCAATCGAAATGTGGTATATCAGTAAAATTAGGAAATGAATGCGCGGCACATATTGAACGACCTAAATCCATGTAAATATTTGATAATGTAGGATAACTACAGTTAGTAAGTTGATCTTTTTCAGGAACAGACGTGTATTTTATATTATTATTGTTGCTATGTTGCGAATGTAATTGTTCATTGGTCTTTAAATCTTGAAATAAAAAAGTTGAGAAAAATGTGTATATTTATGTTTTTGAATTGAAAAAGATAATAGAGTTGTTGTATTAAAAATAAATTAAAGTAACAGTTTAAATATCTCATAATACTGTTTATTGTAACTCATTTAACACAATAACCACAGAAAGGTAAAGAGAGAGAGAGAGTCTAGGGCCTTCAAAGACCAAAACAGCCAATTATGTTCTGAGTCCTATTTTCGTCGGCTCTATTACATTACTCAAACATTTTAAAGGTAATTTTCGTCACGGGCTGATATTAGCTGAAAAAGCGTGGGGACCCCTTATCGGGGAGCAGCAATAAGCCTATAATATCTTGAAAATGAGCCAAGAGGGTCTCCACGATAAAGGAGTAATATTGAACTAATGAAATGATATCAGATTATCCAAATGAACAACTTCAGTTAAACTGTGACATAGGTTGACCATCATTTAACATTATCAGGGAGTAATTGCCTTACTCTCGAAGTGGGTAGTAAAATGCGATACTATGAAAAATAACCTAAAGGGCTTGGTGGGAACGTTTTTATTCATATTATTCATTTGAACACATAAATATTAATACAACGAGGCACCAAATATATATGCGCCACACAAATTTGATTTGATTTGTGTGTGGACTGTGATACCACTCGATGCCCAAACAAAAGCAGGTGAGTTTCTCAAGAGGCCACACCCAGAACCTTCGACCTAAAGGTTTGATCCTTAAGGCAGTGGAGCATCGTAAGGAGATGCAATCCCATGGTAGCCGGTGACCAACGATTGGTTCCTACGCCATTTGTTCCTTCAGGATACTGGAGCCCATGTGCACCATTGGTCTGGAATCAGGTTTTTTCAACTCCCCTAGTTGGATCCTCCATATCTACCGACCCGGTCAAAGCGCCGGACATTCGCTTTTCGTTCACAATTTCGTAAACAACACCCCGCCGTGAGAATGGCTGTATACGTGTGGCCGTGTGAGAGCATTTCGAGAGGGAAAGCTAACTTTTCCCACCCTCGGTCGTACCAGGGCATGTGGGGGCGTGCAATCCCTAGATTAAATTTATGAGAAAGAAAATCAATATCGATTAAGATGAATTGCTGTTACGTTGAATTATTCAATATAGACTCTACTTATGAACCTTTAAAATATTTTTAATATGATTTTTGTATAGCGACAAATACTCAATTCAGCAATTCTAATCTTTAGTAATTGACATTTATTTGTGAGACAGGAAAGAAGAGGATAAAAGTAGTCTCGTTAGTCATATTGAAGTCAGTGTTGCGAAATCTTAGCATAACCCATGAATGTAACAGCACTATGAACACTCATATGACTATAAATTGTTCAAAACAACGCTAATCGATCTACTGTTACGAAAATAACTATGATAACTCATAGGAGTAAGGGGTCACACAAGAAACATGAGTAAAATAAAAGCGAATTCAACCACGATTTAGGTACGTATAGCATGCTCTTTGTATCTTTAAGAAAATAAATAATGGAGTGATGGACTAGTAGTGGGTTGAGAATTCGGTTTTCGATCAATAGGTTGCAGACACTTGTAGGCAGAGATCGGTGGTGGTTAGTATTAGAATCCGGGACGCACGTTTCATCGTACGTAGGACTAGTCAGCTGGATCTCAATATTGACGTCCACTCCAGGACTAAAAACCGATGCCCTTCCCTTAAAACTCTTACAAGTAAATTAAGACAAGTTACAGGTTCAAATATCATTTTATCTATTTCTGCTCCGGGTAACCGGCTAGTAGTACCGACTCTCACACAGACGCTGTTGCAGGAAGTGAATTACACAAAGCCATACTTTGCAAATGAGTTAGATTTGATAATATGGAAGACTGCACTATTCTGTGTGCGTGATATGTCGTACATAAAAACTAAGCGCTACACTAAAAAACTCATTGAGAACAGTCGATTTTACAAAACTGAATTAAAAGTAAACCGTTACATATTTACTGACACACACACATAGGCTTTCCTAAACTGGATAAATTATCTAATGCTTACTAGCCTTCAATGGTACTTTAACTGGAATGTGAGGTGTAAAGAAAGTCCTCTCTGTTAAATGAATAATCAAGTGAATTTGTTTCGCATAGTATATCTAACAATGATCAATGAAGCTGTTAAAATATGTACATATTATAAGCTATAAAACATTTTTAAAATAGACGGTTTGTGGTTAACAGTGGAATCCATGACGTATATTCAGTCCTATTGTTGTTAATCAAACTGATGTACCTGGATTCTAATGTTGATGTTGTCGGGAATCGAATTCAGTACTATTTACTCCAAAAGCTAACGTGTCATCCACCGAGCTACTAATATTTAATGTCAGAATCGATCAAGAAATAAGGAAAGGAAATTTGTTGAAATACTTTTCGCTGAGAACTCTATATTTTACCAAAATATCATATTGAATAAAGCCATTAATAATAATACTAATACTACTACTACTAATAATAATAATAAATAAATAAATAAGTTCAAATATCCCGTTTTTTCAACGTGTATGATTAACAGATCAGTACTTGTAGGAGTTTTAATTATCCCATTGCTGACCAGTCTTAGTGGACAATAGGTGAGTATTGCCTCGATATGGCTATATTGTCACAAGTTTTTTCTAGAATGGATGGACTGTGTCTAGTAACGGACAACAGGACAATTCAAACTCTTACCAAGAAGAGTATAAAATACTTAATATGGCATTTATGGTAATAGAAATAGAGAGAGAAAAGACGAAGTATTTACTTGGATATGACTTCGGAATCATATAATCGCCTAAATGATGTTCAACAACAAGTTCAGTTGACCGGATATGGGGATTTGAGAAACGATCCAAATCGACATAAGATGTTAAATCATAAAATTCATTGAACCAATCAACTCTATAAGATAAAAAATAAAAGACATTTGAATTACAGTGGATTTTTGAAAAACATTACTCCTACTCGCTGAATATTATTTGGCAAACAAAGGGGGGAGTAAATAAGTTTTTATATTGTTCAGGTCTTAGTCAAAATCATGCGTACGTTTTGCTTTGATTCAGCTTACACATTAAACACAGTAGAGCTTTGAGATCAATTGGATAAGCCAGCATTTGCTACGACATATTAGGCATACGAATTTATTATTATTATTATTATTATTATTATTATTATTATTATTATTATTATTATTATTATTATTATTAGCTTTATTCAATATTATATTATTGGTACAATATCGAATTCTCAGCACAAAGTATTTCAACAAGTTTCCGTTTCTTTCTTCTTGGTCGGTCCTCGCGATAAATACTGAGTGGTCGCCAGCTAGATATTATCAATCCAGTAAATGAACATGGGAATGATGTACATTATTTTCGTTGTATATTGCCAGCAACCATATTCTCTCTTTTTGAGCTTTTTGTAACTTTGATAACGAAAGGTTGTACATTTTTCAGAAACGCAGCAGAATGGGTTGTGCGATTAATAGACATAATGATATATTAAAACAAACAAAAATAGATAACTTGTTGAAATATTTAGATGGCAGGAACAGGTAGCCCAGATGCTCAAGCAGGCCGCCGATAATTTGATATTAATGATCAGACAACGTTAAAATACTTCAACTTACCACTATTCATAACAGCCCAAATGAAACAAATAAATGGAATTTTTTAGTCGAAAATGAATAATGTATAGAATACAAAGTAAAAATACAAACACATATTTACTGTTATTACACCTGTCACGTTAATTCATTCAGAGTTTCCTGTCAATGGTTTCTTATATCAATAATCCCTACTAGGATGGCTATATATTTGCAAATATTTCAGTTACTGACTTCACATACTCTTACTGCAAACGAAATAGGATGTCAAGATAGGTAGAATAGTATGCATTACATCAGTCTTAATCATCAAAGCGAGTTTGGTACCGTGACCACACCCATATTCAACCTTATCCCTATTAAATTTATGGTTAAAATATAGTAGTTGGATTGATTGCTAGCGAAGAGGAGAGAACACTACATGTAAATAAAGTGGTTTGGGCACTTAACCACTTCATTTCTTATATATAAGTGGGCTAGCGAATACTCGTTTTAGAGAAATAGTTTGGCACTAGGAACCGAAACTCTCCAGACGTATAGAAAGCTGTACTTTCTAAGGGTTATTATTCAATGTGATCAATTTATTTATATGGTTTAAACTGATATTAGGGAACCCTGTAAAGATTCATTGGGTCAAGGAGCAACGAAAAGTAAGTACTTTTGGGATATCCTAAACTAGGGAGAATTGATTATCCAACGATTTATGGATTCCCATAATTTTTTGAAAAACTAATTTCAAACAATAAATTTCATTTTACCACTTCAAACACCACTCACCTGATATCATTTGATGGTAACACAAGGCATCGATCATTATAAAGAACTGACTTTTGTGTTATATCCATTGCTCTGGGTAAACATTGTAAGAGATCACGAGAGCACCAATCAGTTAGTGAAAAGCGACTTGTTGGTAAACGTGCCCAAGCGTCCAACCAATGTAAATAAGCATCACTACACATATCCCAGATACAACCAGACAGTGAAGCAGCGACACTGGCTAGAATTTGATCTGTGTCTGAATGAAAGAGAGTTGGTATGTCTGATTTGAATGTATCAGTCTCATCTATTGAATACCTTGGAATTAGATGATTTTTTATGAAATCATATAGTGTACCAGACCATAAATTAGGACGATAAATGCGTAAAAATAAACTTATTGCACACTGTTTTTCCCAATCAGAAAATTTATTAGAATAATATCTGAAAAAGTCAAAAGGTAAAAACCATAATAGATACTTGATAGGCAGATAAGAATAAATATTATATTTATTTATTTGAACACATAAATATTGGTACAAGAGGGCACCAAATATATATGCAACACACAAAACAATGAAAATAGGAAGAGAGAAAAAAGAAGGTAAGAAGTGTAAAAAATAGAACAATAACGACCAGATTAGTGTAAGGTAGTGTAATAATAATAATAATAATAATAATAATAATAATAATAATAATACTGGGGAAAACGGAAAGGTACAACCAGAAGGATTCTTCCAGTTAAAGAACAAACAACCACTTTTACGAAGAAAGTAAAAGAACATTACAGCAGGATCGCCACTGGCTTCTATTCTGAGCCATATCTGATAACGTCTCTAGCCACTGTGTAGCACCATCTCTCAGACCCCAACCAAGGAGTCGGGAAGGACCAACACAAGCCAGTCCTTTGCAGCTTTCTTTCATACCACGACACCATGTCATGCACTGACCACCTCTCCACTTCTTCCAACCAGTCCCAGAGTCGGCAAATAATGCACGACGTGGAATTCTATGGGACGACATTCGTAGATGTTCAAGCCACCGAAGTCGGTGTTTCAAGATGGTGACACCAATTGAATTATCATCTCTGTGCCCGAACACACGATGCCGAACCTCTGCATTACTAACATGGTGTTGCCGCTGGATGTCAGCAATCCTTCGGAGACAACGATGACCGAACACAGAGAGTTGTCTAACATCCTCAACTCGGAGAGACCAGGTTTTACTAGCTCTCACTGACGCGTTGTAGATCTGACCATTTACAGCCAGACTAACATCACGAGGGCGCCAAAGATGGCCCAGATTGGCATAAGATGCTCGGACTTTCATTATACGTGCACTGATTTCATCACTCACACCCCCACCAGCACTTATGCAGCTACCCAGATACAAGAACTTCTCGAATACTTCTATCTGCTCACCATCCAGAGTGAGTAAAGGATTAGGATCCTGTCAGTCTTGTAGAAGTACTTTGCACTTCGAAGGTGCAAAGCTCATACCGTACCTACGAACACTGATTGCATGGCTTGGGTATTATCGCACAGTAAGACAATATCGTCCGCATACTCAAGGTCGAGAAGTCTTTATCCAGGCAATAGATCCACACCGCCATTACTTACATTCATCAGAGCTGTTTCCAGAATGTCGTCGATGGCAAAGTTGAAGAGGAATGGTGAGATTGGGCAACCCTGCCTAACCCCACTGCTCGAATGGAACAATGGAGAAAGGTGGTTGTATGCCCTCACTCTGCCTGAGGTGTTTGTATATAGGGCCTTTAAGATGTTGATGAACTTCTCAGGCACACCCTTCTTCAATAGACATTTCCAGAGAACAGTCCTATCCAACGAATCGAAGGCAGCCCTGATGTCAAGAAACACTACGATTGTTGGCCTTTGATAAGTATGACAGTGTTCTAACATTTGGCGGAGGGTGAAGATATGATCAATACATCCTTGACTAGAACAAAAACCAGCCTGCCTGAAATCTGGGCACATAAAGTAGAGTTTACAGTGTATCCAGTTACGTATTGTTTCACAACTAGCAAATAATACCAATACAAATATATTGAGGTCAGTATTTGACAGAAATGGGGTCATTATTGAAATGCAAATTTTATCCTAGAATAAGAAAACAAGCAATTTATTATGATGATTTAGTTATAATTTATGTGAAGGACATGTTTCAGTCCCATGCCGGACTAGGATTAACACAAATGATGACTTATGGGTCTTCCTCACGTTGTTACTAACTTACAAAAAACAATAGATCTAATGAAGTTATCATTAATGAGCCTAAAATATCAGACCACAATATACAATAAAGTAACAATAAACAACGAGAGCAATTAGATAAGAAGACTATATGATGCCTAAATAATTAAAAAAAATTGCTTCTGAACAGTAAAAAGATATCAGTTAGATTGAGAAATCAAAAACTAACTTATAAATATGGTTATATTATATATTCCTAACTATTTTGATATGTATGAAATAAATGAAAAAAATACTGCCGCACTATTATTGAATACCTATCGGGACGATAGGTATGCATAAAATATTCTTTACACCATTAATCACGGTTATTCACTGAATTTTATGAAATAACTGAATAATAGTCTAGAATCTGAAACCTAGTGAATTACTTCAATCTGATCTATTCGTTAAAAAGAACCCATTTTTACAGTTTACATCAAAAACTGACCTTAGTTAAATAACCATTAAGAAATAAGAAGTACTGGACAGCTTTTTTGTCTTAGTATAGGACTCTTAGGAAGTGCACATCCACTAACCCACTCGGATTTGAACCCAATACCTTTAGATTTCTCATCCAGCACTAATTATTTGAAACTAAAACTATAAACCATTGGATGGTGACCCACTGGTTTGAAGGTTAACTATAAAATCAATCTCTGTAAACCTCACTATTTCAAGAAGCTATTTTATTTACAACCGAATTAGGTGCCTAAAAATGGATAAATCTATGTAGTTGGTGAGAATATAAATCAACAGTATTGGTACCTCTATTTTATCACTTAATACGAACAAAAATGAGATGATTCTAGTTTTAAAAATTTTCAACAGCTCTCCAAATAAATGTATTAACTACCCACATTACAACAGGAATGTAACATAGTTGTGAATAAAGTACAGATGACATTGCATAAAGAAAATGTAATTTATCTATAAACTTACCGTGACAGTGTTTGAACAAAATCACGCGAGTGACTAGAGAGCTTTTTTACTTTACGATAAGTATTTATATTGTGCACTAATTGACTACCGCCATATTGTAAGGCCAGTGTATCTCCATGTTCATCATATAAATCCTATTAATTTTTTTTTAAATCCAAATAATAATTTGTACAAATGATCAGTATGTGTGTGCATGGGGTAAAAAAGATTAGCATGACTGTTTGCTAAAATCTGAACTGTACTGAAGTATACAAGCAGCTAGCTTTTGTTTGATAAAAGATTGTAAGCTGGTGGAAAACGTTCAAGGAATCACAAAAAAAGGATTCTAGAAATCTTAGAATATTTATATGATGCTACGATACTTGAATACAATCTGTTGATTTTAACAAACAGAAGAATTTGAGATAGTTTGATTAAGGTTATCAGATTACTTAATAATATTCTACATCTTATATCATTCATTTTCCAAGGTTTTATAAATCGTAAATTTATAGACACAAAAGAAGACTCAGAACTAACTACTTGTTATCCGCCTTTCATACTGAGTTTTTGACGAGTGAAACTCTATGGCCCAACAAGTGACAACAACTCATATATGTGCCGAAAGAAGTTAAATTAAATGACAGAAATTTATCACCACGATTAACATAAACCATTTAATTTTGCCAACTCAAACTGATTAATCAAATCAATGCAAAATTCGAATCATTTGAGTTAATGGTTCAAAAGTAGCAGAAAATAATCAGGGAAGACAAATCAAGAGAGCAGAACTATAGTACTTAATTATTGTTCATCATCATCTACATCAGGATTAAAGGTGAATAAATTTGGCGTATTCAGCGAAAATGAGTCGAGATAGGTTAATGAACGCAGACGAAAATTTATGTATGCTGTAATGTACATTCCTCTATCCCTGTGTGTTTGATATAATACACTCTGTTTGCGTCTTTATCCGGTTACTTGATCTCCTGTTGGATATTTGAACGACAGAGTATTACACAATTAAAAGCTATTCTAGATTTTAGTCTTAACAACCTGATTATCTAAAAACTAGTTTGCAGTTTAAGATCGATAAAAGTGCTTATTTTTTCATCGTAACAGTATTTAAATGACCAATATCGATTTTTAAGGATGATATTAGCTGACCATGGTGTTGTGACGTACGTGACACTTTTTTTTCATTTACCCACAAAACAAACAAAAATTATCGGGTGCTACTAAATCACGACCGGATAATTAAGAACCTTTGTTAAATCTCAAACACCAGTGTACATTTAAGTTTACAAATAAGATCAAGATTATTCAGTTGGTTAGTAGATCTGACCATTGCTTTTATACTTAACTGAGAATACTATTCAAAATAAATATTCTAGAAGAAATTCATAGACATGATAGAGTGTAATGGATAGTTAAGAAATCCTTATTACACATCATTTCTATCGTTTGATATTGTTCGAAGTAAAAACTACGAATAGGAAACACATTACCTTTTATTCGAGTAAGTTAAAAACTAAAATAAATGACTATTTTTACACCATGAGATCTCATGGTTATAGAAAACTATATCGATGCTTGAAAAGAATTAGGCTTTTACCATTTTATTGTTGCAATACAATATTTAACAAAAGTATAAACTACAGTTTCGAAATATTTGAATTACTTAATCTAGTTGAATGATATATGAAGATAAGTTCGCTTTAAAAACAGCTTTCATGGTAGACTGAATTCAGCTGTAGAACAATGGGAAACCACGAGGAAATGGACCAACTGTTTCGTACTAGTTTGAAACTTTAGCATTCTTCGGTGCCAAAGGTGAATTTCAGAAAACGTCTTTTGGAAGGGTAGTATTAGTTTCCTGAGTTATACAAAGAGATTTAGGCACTCAAAATTGTCAGTATTAGGATATATATAATCAATATGGTCCCAACCTCTGAGTTACTTATTGCAATACTCAAGAACTAGTGGTAGTTTTAAGTTATCAAACTGTTAGAAACTTAGTTAAAGTGATGAATCTACTCAGTTAATTTTTTCATAAAATACATCAGGGTAAGAGAGTAATAACAGAATTGTGAACGTACTTTCTCCCTCTAGAAACAGTATCATGACCAATGAATCCCAACCAGTAAAAATATGGGAAAACGATGAGACATATTTGTAGTAGACTGACGCCTAAAAAATACCTATTATACACCAGGGTCAATATATTTTTCAACAAGGTTCCACTGTTCAATGATAATTACAAATGGAAATCTTGAAATGCTTAAGTTTATGAAATGAGCGGCACTATCAGCGAAGGATTTAGCAAAAGGGATAAGCAATCTCATTGATACCAATAGAAAGAATTTACAGAAATTAACTATTATTTAAAAAAGAGAAGTAATAAATAGCAAGTTACCTGTAGTAATCGATCGATTTGTGAGTTATCCATAAAATCTGGCTCAGCTAAAAAGCCTAATCCATACAATTGATAAGCTAAAACAACTCGACCGATAACAAACTGTGCAGTGTTAGTTCGATCTAAACAGTCCACACAATTTACTCGGATTATTCCACATTGCTTAGAGCTGGAAGAAAATAGCAAAACATAAGATTATTAGTTGAGAAACATGAAACCTGATGAAGTGCATCAGTAGTAGTAACAGTACTCAGCCAATAATATTAGTGAATCTAAAATGGGATCAGGTTGTGGTAGCTAGTAGTTAACTGACAACCAACTTGTTAAATAACATTAACAATAAATAACTGCAAGGTTCAAAATGAGGTCACACGAAAGGTCGTAAAAGACTGCTCAATTATTATCATACTTGTTTGACATGGTGATGAAATTTTCATAACTAATGCATTTAGTTTTAAAGAGAACCCCAGAAAATCATGTTTGAGACCCACATTTACAAAATTGACAAAATACAACATTTTTAGAAGTGATACGCGAAGACCATACAACAAGGTTTGTCGAATTCCCCAAACACATCAGGATTACTTAGCTGATAAAAACAAGTGTAAGCATCAGAATGAAATATTTAATGAGTGGATCCAATGGCAATATCCATTCTAATACTGTTTGAATCAATTTAAATGTCCATAAATCAGATGATTTATTAGCAAAACTGTTCGACAACAGAGTTGTTCTTAATAACATAATCAGCTTAAACTCTATTTCCTTTTTAAAACTGTAACCAGTGTGTATCTACATGATTCTGTTAGTGGCAATTAACATGAAACCCTACATAGTTTGGTATTTGATCCCAATACTAGGTGTTGTCACTCAATATCCGTCCGTCAACTAAACGATGGGTTTAATGAGCAGCAGTTCGCTCTACTCTACTTTATATTTGAGAAACGTGAACTTTAAAAATAGATATTCTTAGGTTACTAGTATTTTATCATACGTTGCTTCGAACCATTGCTCATATATTTCAGGGCCATCAAGTTAGAGATTTTGAGGCTAAACGCAGAGTACAGGTATAGCAAATCGACTGACAAGGTTGTGAACCGTTACTATCTGGAATGGTTAGAATATGTATTACGTGTTCTCATTCACCAACTACTTTGACGTGCAATGATGGCCGGTATAAGAGCAGGTCAGAAGAAAGCTACCAGTGGCCAAACCAAAGCATCAGTCTATTTAGACACTGACTATTGAACTAGGTCATGTAGTTAGGTGCAGACTACTTGGTTCGGGTCCGCGTGAATATCGTAACTAGTTGTTAGAGACTGGGTGGTATGGCTAGGAACCGCTGACAACGGAGCAGATACACTCACTATTTGTATCTTTTTAAATCGTAAGTTTCTAAACTTTTCATAATTTTGTTTGTTTTGGTTTCATTAAATTACACATTTTATAGGGTCGTATCCTCAATGTTTAATCGTTTCTATTATCACTAGTCATGTTATTACTTCTACTACCTTGATATTTGCCCTGACTATTTCATCTCTGTGCTAATAGCACATGTCAACGTCGACCGATGTACATATGTTTCGGGTTCTAATTTTCATTTGACTGACAAACTGAAGTGCTATTAATTCACCTACATCAAACGGTTTGGGATAAGTTTGTTATACTATAGAAATTAATACTAGTTACGCATATATAAAATTATAATTAGAATTTGGGCAGATGACCCAAAACAAACTAGTATATAGAACACATTTTTTGTGTCATTTATAGCTGACTGTAATATGTGGTACTTGAGTTTAGACTAGAGTTATGAAAAGATGACACCAATTAGAACATCAGAGTACTAAATAGCATGTCAGAGTTATGAGTTGTAAACACTGGGAAAACTATTATGATAGAAACCTCATTCTTATTCGATTTAGTTCCTTTTACAAAGCTTAGGCAGTCTGCAATTCAGTTTATAAACAAGTATATGATTACTTAATTGTAATGATTGTCGCATTCTCTTTTATATTCTTTAATGTGAAGTTGCAATAATTCCTTTGAACAACAAGAAAAATTGGTACATAAGATTGATTGTTCCATGTGAAATAAAATACACTGCATGGTAAATCATATAAATTTTGATAAAACAGAATTTTATTAACTCTCTTGAAGAAAAAAATCCATTTAGACACAGAAAAAAATGAATAGAACTCGAATATTTCTTTACAACGAGTCTGTCATATTGGCTCTCCACTAATACATGTGTTTAATAATAATAATAATAATAATAATAATAATAATAATAATAATAATAATAATAATAATAATAATAATAATAATAATAATAATAATAATAATAATAATAATAATAATAATAATAATAATAATAATAATAATAATAATAATAATAATAATAATAATAATAATAATAATAATAATAATAATAATAATAATAATAATAATAATAATAATAATAATAATAATAATAATAATAATAATAATAATAATAATAATAATAATAATAATAATAATAATAATAATAATAATAATAATAATAATAATAATAATAATAATAATAATAATAATAATAATAATAATAATAATAATAATAATAATAATAATAATAATAATAATAATAATAATAATAATAATAATAATAATAATAATAATAATAATAATAATAATAATAATAATAATAATAATAATAATAATAATAATAATAATAATAATAATAATAATAATAATAATAATAATAATAATAATAATAATAATAATAATAATAATAATAATAATAATAATAATAATAATAATAATAATAATAATAATAATAATAATAATAATAATAATAATAATAATAATAATAATAATAATAATAATAATAATAATAATAATAATAATAATAATAATAATAATAATAATAATAATAATAATAATAATAATAATAATAATAATAATAATAATAATAATAATAATAATAATAATAATAATAATAATAATAATAATAATAATAATAATAATAATAATAATAATAATAATAATAATAATAATAATAATAATAATAATAATAATAATAATAATAATAATAATAATAATAATAATAATAATAATAATAATAATAATAATAATAATAATAATAATAATAATAATAATAATAATAATAATAATAATAGAATCGAGACCAATGAAATACTACTGTATTCGATAAGAGTATTGTGATGTGTGCTACTGATATCGACAGATATAAGTAGTATGTATCATCAATAGAAAGTGGAATACCTGGAGGCTGAAGGTTGAGAAAATCGAAAAGAAGGGAATGGGAACAGAGAGTGATTGGTATGAAAACGAAGGAACAACAAAGTCTGAGACAATTGATGGACACTTCTCAAATGAAGTATTACTGTACGGTTCTCAGATGTTACTAAGAGATTTTGTAATTTAATATCCAAGTACGTTTGGTTGTCTCCACTGGTGTTCTCGTAAAATACAGTATTACCAATATTATTGTATTACTACTACTTGATACATTTCTAATTAGTTAACATTGATTTTATCAAAGCTGTTAAACATACATATCGTTGTAGAGTCAAAATGAAAAACTAATTGGATAGAAATATTTCATTCTTCTACCCATTCTTTTTTTTTTAAACAAATAACTTACTTGAAACCAATTGTTCTATGTTTTTCAAATTGAATTTCTGAGATAGGTAAAGAAGCAGATGATGAGAAATATATTCCAGTACGACGTACACAATTGTCTATAATAGGTTGTAATTTATTTAAAACAACAGTACGTTTCATTTTTTGTACACGAGCGATATCAAATCCAATGTACATAATAGGTGGACTACTATCAATTGTTTCGATAAAAAGTGTATTTAATGAATCAGATGGTTGGAGAATTCTAGAAGGTAAAAACTAACAGAAGAATATTCAAGGGAATTATAATTATAATAAGTTCATATTTTGAGACTAACAATGAGTCAAAAACAAAAACAAAGAAATATTCTGATAACCGAGACTGAAATGTTTGATTTTTTTATAAAAAAGACAGTAAACTCAAGTAAATAGAAGTTTGCACTGTAAACTCTGAAGTATGTTGTTCAATGCCTCTTTGATTATAATACAAGACACAGTAGAAGTGTTGTAACGGGCGTGTGACTGCAGGGGGTTGATACGCAGCGTTTATATCGGTTACAATGGACAGTGACACGGAAACATGTAAGGACGACCTAGTGCCCTGATTGGCCCTGCTTCGCTGTCTAGCCCCAGCCAGTTGAGTCAAGAACACAAGCCACAGCCTCGGAGTTATGAATCATTATATTTTAAACATACTTTGTTTATATACCAACCAAGCATACCACATCGTACCATAAAATAGAAAACAACATTTTGTACAATATTCAACAAGTGAACAAATATCGACCAATAGGAAATGACATTTAAAGTCCAAGGACACCATTGAAATTAACATGATAATTATTGGTCTCTTTTTCCGACTATCCTAACAAGAAGTAGAAATGGTGTAGTAATCAAATAGTGTATATATTTAATGGCCACTGTAGTGTTCCATCAGAGTAAGCAGTCAAAATAATTCAACCAATAACTTAAAAGGATGATTTCTAAATCAGTCTTAACCTATCACAATGAATAAAGATACAGACAAAAAATCTAATGAGATAAGGCGACAGGTTGATACTAATAGTAGTACATTAGTTTTCATTGTTCTACATTTTTGATAGTGAACAGGAATATAATGTTAATATCTTTGATTTACAATAAATGTACTATTGGTGTCATTTAATATCTCTTCTATCATCGACTTCTGTCAATCCCAGTTACATAAACAGTTCATAAGAACATTTAACTATTTAATGATTTGATAACAGTATGATCAGCAGTTTAAAAATCCCCATAGAATATTCAAAAATGAAAAATATTTGAGCGAACAATTGTTTTCAATAACTTCATCATCAGACTCTACAGTTATAAGTCCATAATTATAATATTTTACAAAGGCCAGAAATAAGGCATGTATTAATGAATTTGACAATGCTATGCGTTGAAAACATTATGATCAACAAAAAATAACGTTTACCTTGTGAATCACTTTCATTCACAATCACTAGATGACGTACATACAAAAACGGCATTGGGTCTTAACTATTAATGAAAAATTCTAAGATGTCTTTCTCTAAATTAGACTACACCATTTGCTAAAATTTATTTCAATTACAATAAATACATAACATTATTAGCTTACTTGACTTAAATAGATAATTCCACGTTCAAATCTATCAGATAAAATTGTTTCAAATGGTCTTTTCTCTCGTTTTTTCATTAAATTAAGCACAATAACTGGAGATCCATGACGTTTAAGTAAATTAGAAAAATGTAAACCCATCGATTCATAGAATGGATCATCACGCTGAAGATACGGAAAATTAATTACAATCATTAACAAATTAAAATCCCAATAAAAATACACCAACTAAAGTACAATTAATCATTAACTATTCTGTGATTTTAAATAATACAAACTATATTCTCCTATACAGTACTGTCCATAGTTTTTAAGACAGTGGAATTTCAAAAAAAAGATTTTGAAAATATATAGTTACTTTACTAAGTCGTTGAATATGAAACTGAAATATACTCTATGATAAATTTGTTCAGTTTCATTTATCTGAAGGCCCTTTTGTGTGCCACGATATACTACTTACTAATATAGAGTAGTTAATGTTCCACCATTTCCATTACTTGTATGCTGGAACAAATCATGGTGTTTTAACAGCACTTATCAAATCATTTTCTGATCCTATTTGAGTTATTAGTCCTTCTTTTAATTTTATCGATATTTCCTCTTATTATTATTATTTAGGATTTCTTTTGTGTACTACACTTTGAAATTTTGTTTATTTTGAATGTTTTGTTAAATCTCCCAAGAAGGTTTAAGTTACTTTCGTTAATAGTGCAACAGTGGTTGCAATTGCATAGCTTCTGAGGGGGAGATATGAGGAATCACTATGCCCTAACGTTAAAAAAAGTGATAGAAACATATTCTTGGGACCTATACGTGCTCTTTTGGAAGATATCGAAAAATGATGTACTAACTAAACTCGTATTGAAGCAACGTAGTCAATAATTTAAGTGACTCGATATTACTATAATCACGTCCTGATGGAGGATAACTGGAAGTATTCATCAGAAAGTTCTGCTCCAGTTAGGAGTCGTCAGCAAAACATGTCAGCACTCTTGAGAGGATAGAGTCACACAGTGTCAAAGTTAAGGATACAGACATCGCAAAATGAGCAATAAAAGGTAATAACATTAGAACATGTTGATGTGTCACTGTTTAAAAATGTCATAAACTTACTAAAATTTCTAAAGGCGGTCTGCCAACAACAACTTTAGAAGACTCCTGTGACCAGAATAACGGTACAGAACCACGCATTTGTACATATGATGAAACGCGTCCATGACGAAGAAATGAATATGAGCTATCATGTACTATTTGTTCTGTTTCCACCTGAAGAAAAACCCATTTAAATTCACCTGTAAGACATTAGACATTGAAACCTATGAAAAAAGCACATATTAAACATCTAGTTGCTATTACACGATCACACGGTGGAAGGATAGACACAACTACATTCCCCAGGTATAAATGGATATAGCTGAATTGATTCACAATAAGAAAATGTAAAATTGTTATCAGACAGACCTTTCGCTACATTTAATCAGTAATCAGTAAGTTATCAGATACACTATCTATTTTGTAAGCATGAATATTGTACTTTATATGCTACAGGGAAGCACAAGTAGCTAAAAATCGTTAGCATTATTTATTAGAAAATGATCATAAGTGGAATTACTGGGATAATTTAGACGCGTCAAACAATTATTAAATAATCGGTTCCCTTTACTGTGGCCAACAAACACCTTAACAGTTTATATTACTTACCACTGATGTTTCATGATTATTTCTAGAATGTCCAAAAATTAGACTAAAAAGAAATTTGGATTTTGGTGTAAAGACCAGTGACAAAAAAATAACTTTTCCAAGTAGGACTATTGTAAATTCAATGGATAAGTAACGATAGATTACTTTGTACTGACTGATAGAAATAGTATTTACATGATAACTAGTTTGGTTCTCAGTTGAGTAGCACCAAACGTTGTTACTATTACTCAAACGCGTAAACATTGGTACAAGAGACACCATAATATATGCATCACATAATAAAAAAAAGATTGTGAAGAGATAAAGGAAGGTGCATACAACAAAAAATAAATAGAAATAAGTGCATGAGAGCGAATAATATTAATAATAGTCAGACAAGCAACTCAGATAAGAAAATTGCAACCAGCGAAAACTCATTTAAAAAATTGCACACACTTATATGAAGGAAATGAAAAAAGTTACAGCGGGTCCACCACTCGCTTCTCTTCTGAGAGATATTTGATAACGTCTCATACATGTAAACTGATAATAATTATTGTGTACAGATAATGTAAAATTCACATTTGAAGGTGAACACTTCAGACAAATAGATGGTGTAGCTATGGGTAGCCCTCTAGGACCATTGCTGGCTGATGTGTTCATGGGATATGTTGAAAATTTAGTTGAAGACTCAATTCGAAAGATGGGTCTGTATAAACGATATGTAGATGACATAATAATCGTAGGGGATAAAAGTGAAGACATAAACCGCTTGTTAGAAGAATTCAATAGTAGTCAAAAGCACATTTCTCTTACATGTGAAGAAGAGAAGAACAACTAACTTCCTTTTCTAGACATCCTGATTAGTAGGAGAGATAATGGTTCCATCCAACGTTCTATATATAGAAAACCAACATGGACAGGACAATATCTTAATTTCCATAGTCACTGCCCTATTCATTACAAACGCGGTTTAATAAAGAGCTTATTCAATAGAATCAATCGTATTTGTACTAGTGATACTATTGAAGTAGAGATGAAGCTCTTGACTGATGCGTTAATCAATAATGGTTATTCTTTGAAGTTCATAAACCGCTGGAACGGTTGCAATACGACTAGACCTATGATGCTTCTGGCACCCAAAAAGCGATTTCATATTACGTTACCATTCACAGGTGACACAAATAGTCTCATGTTGAAACGAAGACTTAAATTAGCTATCAATTGGACATTTTATGCAGCCCAACTTGTCACTATAGAGAAGACAAGGTCTATGCTTCCCCAAAAGCCCAAACAGCATGAAAGCGATTGTGTCTATCAATGTATATGTATGTGTGGAAACACGTACATAGGGGGAAGCAGTCATGATTTGCAATTAAGGGTGGGTGAACACATACCAAAATGGCTGCAGAAACAAATGGATATCAATGGTCAAATAAAATCACAGAATAGACAGACATCATCCTCCATTGTGAAACATTTGACTAGTCATAAGGTTGACATCAAGTTAGCTTTTGTAGTGTTATACAAAAGCCTTCAAGTACGTATACTAAGGTTCATTGAAGCCTTGACTATACGGAAATTGAAACCGCCTTTATGCCTTCAAAAATAATTTGTCCTTACACTTAACCTACCCTGGTAATACTGATTTATTATCCAGAGTGGTAATCACATTGTTCTTGTGTATCTTTTTCTTTGTTATGACTAACCTTTAAACTGTCTAGTTGACCTTTTATTTAAATAAATGTTCTTAAAATGTATATGTGTGATCAGATTGTTCGAAATGTATTGCGCAAATCCATCACATAATTCTGAAAAACTTCGTCTTCTCATTACATTTTCACAGGTTGAAATCATGAGTCAGTTGAAGCTAGACCACCATTGAAAACCTGGAAGCACTGGACGGCCGTTTCGTCCTAGTATGGGACTCCTCAGCAGTGCGCATCCACGACCCCGCACCACGCGGGGCTCGAACATAGGACCTACTGGCTTCGCGCGCGAGCACTTAACCATTAGACCGGCGCGAAGCCAGTAGGTCCTATGTTCGAGCCCCGCGTGGTGCGGGGTCGTGGATGCGCACTGCTGAGGAGTCCCATACTAGGACGAAACGGCCGTCCAGTGCTTCCAGGTTTTCAATGGTGGTCTAGCTTCAACTGACTCATGATTTCAACCTGTGAAAATTTCTCATTACATTATCGAAAAAATTAATTTAAAAAATAACTAAAATGGTTGGGCGGTTAGTGATATTCATGACTCATCATTGTAACTGATGAAATATGAGAAATACTAGAATAAATATGAAATTATATAAATTTATTGAATGACAGGAAAGTTCAAGTTACATTCCACCTAGGAAGCTAGAATTTTTTGAATACCCTCTGAAACGAATAGAGAAAAAGTAATTTGTTTAATAAAATCCAGGTAGTTAAATTCTAAGCCACTAGTGCTTGCTAAATTTTGAAGTTTCTATAAAGGAGAGTAAGTTTATGACTACAAATTTATACCAAGGAATTAAATACCAATTTGAATTTCACTTTGACTGTAAGTAATGTATTGTAACAAATTATACCAACGACTGAACTACATTTTAGATATTACTTGATCATAAATAAATAAAAATATCACCTTCACTTTGACATAATAGATAGTTTTCACAATGAAGTAACTGGCCTCATCTAAAGAACCTACGAACATTAGAGAATACTGGAAAGCTCTTTCATTTCTTTCCGAGTTTTCTTAATACAGCAGTGGTTGGCTTCGTGATCAAGCTTCTTAGAATTCGAACCCTAGCCTTCTACTTTGGTTTGAGCGATCAAGTTATGTCATTATACCTCATACATAGAGAGATTGAGAAAAAAAATTATGACTCAGAATGTAGCGTCCAAAACCTGTACTAGATAAATGGATTACAATAACGATTATTGATCCCACAGTGAATTGAAATGAAGACATGAAAATCTTGTGGTAGATATGTCGCTGATCATTAGTGAAACAGAATCTGAAGATTTACATTTTTTCAAATTCAGTCAACTAGTGATGTTAATGTGATAGAAAATAACTTTAGAGCTCCATATAATAGATGGACGGTGGCTAGTAGAGGAAACCAGAAAGTGAGTTTCGTCTTGTTTCAAACCCATTAGCTGGATATACCTTCATATCAGTGTTGATACTGACGTTGAGACTTGAATGTAATATCTTTCGTTTCAAATGCTAACGCGTTATTCATTGAGCTACTGAGTCAAACACCAACAAACTTGTTCAACGAGTATAATGTTTATATTACTATAAATAACAGTTTGAGCTATCTCGTGATTGGTATAAATGACTGAATTTTGACTATTGTTTGTTGGAGGATGTACATCATGTATTGACTGCCTCAATGTCCCGACCGTTGTTGCTACCTTGACGTGGTGGTCGGGCTTGCCTATCGTGATGAAGCAACCGAGCTATACTGGCTGGAACAACCGTTCCTCAAGGTCCTACCATGTCAGACAGGTCGGTTGAAGAGCGGTAAGACTAAAAGCAACAAACCCAAGGTCCGAAGGCGAAGTCGTACTGCTGACTGTACAGAGGTGTGACAGCAGTAAGGTGTTTCCTTCAGACAACCAGCATGACAGCGATGCTGCCTTCCCACAAGGAGGGGTGGGGTTAGAAAAGGTCGACCCTAAAAATGCACACCTCACCTTACCTCACGGATTTCCGTCTCCGGCGGTAAGGCCCTTTGAAGAACGGAGCTAACACGTCGAAAACCTTCCACGAAAAGGCCGTGCGCGACCGACCTCAAGCAGTTGTCCATTGGGCTCTGCGGTCACGCTCTCAGGTCACTGAGACCACCTCTAATCCAATTTCCTTTTCAGGTACCTCCAGAAGAACCCTTCCACGGTGTGGGCAACCGGGAAGTGATAACCGCCCTCATACCTCTAACAGCACCCAAGACCACTGTATTCATAATCAACCTTCCTCTTCAATTCCTATTATTCCTCCTACATCGACTTTCAACCCTAAACTTCCTCCTTCGGCTTCCTCCTCAAGTGTCACCATAGCCAACGATTCTAGTGCTCAAAACTCTGTCCCAGGTCTACTGAAACCTCGCTCCAAACTACACATTGGAGCTTTCAATGTACGCACTCTATGTCAAATCGGTCAGCAGGCTTCCTTGGCTAAAACCCTAGAGTCTCTTTCCATTGATGTATGCTGTGTCTCTGAAACACGCATACAGGATCCCAGTGTGGTCATTCACTTGACCTCACCTCGGCAGAACGGAGAGCCAACGAGATACACCCTCCGTGTATCTGGTGACCCGATGGCCAGTTCTCGTGGACTGGCAGGTGTAGGCATAGCACTAAGCATGAGGGCCGAACAAGCACTGCTAGAGTGGATCCCCGTCAACAGTCGTCTATGTGCTGTTCGGCTGAACGGCTACGTAAGAACTCGGAAGGATAGGGACACACGTCGTTGCCTTTTTGTCGTTTCTGTCTACGCTCCCACTGACTGCAGCTCAGATGAAGTGAAAGATGAATTTTACAGAAAGCTTTCTGAACTTCTTCAGAAAGCTAAACGCTCAGACATAGTACTCGTAGCAGGTG